CCGACTTTAGCCACGACAACGACATGCTCACCATTTACGCGGCGCTCGGGCTCTACGACGGCGCCGCGGCGTTGCCGCGCACGAGGCGCACAGAAGACGTCGAGCGGTTTCTCGGCGGGCTGACTCAGTACCTTTCGTGCGTTTGCGGCGCATGTACGTCGAGAGATGCGGTGCGAGGCCACGACGAGGAGATGGTCCGCGTGGTCGTCAACGAGCGCGTTGTGCCGCTCGAGGCCTGCGGCTCGGATGCGCTCGGGCGATGCGGGCTCGGGGCGTTTGTTGAGGGGCTCGAGTTTGCGCGAACGGGTGGAAAGTGGGATCAGTGTTTTGCGTGATTTTGGTTGTTCTCTTTTTTTTTTTTTGACTTTATTCTTCCCTTTGTCCTTATGAGTGATGACTAGGATAATATCCGGCGGGCATGGCGTATGGTGTTTAGACGAGAGACCGGGTAGAGGGATCACCTACATGTGTTGAAGTGTGAAGGGGTAATACAAGAACGTGATTTTCAAGGATCAGTAGATCTCGAGGGATCAATAGATTGATGCAATCTACAGATTGCTTCTCCATCGTACCTACGGAGAGGACAAGCGAGGCTAGGGGGGATCAGCAGTTCAGAGCCCCTTTCACTTGACAGGTGATTCAGGTATACAGGCCCCCACTGTATTTCCAGGGTCTAGGCCACAGCACCACAGAACTCACAGTGCACTGGACGTGCTAGTGGAACCTTGGAGGTGCCCAGCTCTGCCAGGCACCTACCTAGAGACAAGGTCCCTCCAGCAGGCAGGCAGGTCTAGTGAGGGCTGGGACAGGCTGCAGGACATGGAGGCGCAAGAGGCGAGGGAAAAAGAAAAGAATCTTCAGCAGTCATCGAAACAAGAGCAAGACAAGCACATTCCACCGATCCGAGCTGGTTTCAGTCCCTTGGCGTGAGTTTCCCAGGACCCAGGACGAGTTACCCGGGCTTGCTGGACTCTCCATCTCCTCAGATTGACCAATGGAACGAGCGTCGTAGAAACAGGGAAAAAAAAAGGCGACGAGGGCGAGCTGCGACATAAGCGGGCCCCATGCTGCTGCCTCCCAAAGCGTTACGTCTACCAACACGAGCAGCTGCACCACCACCACCACCACCACCACCACCACCTCCATCATCATCAGCACCACATCTGGGCAACGACATCTGCCGGCGCCTCATTCCACCGTTCCACGCAGGGCGGCATTTTGCCGCACCCCCGAAGCTTCAGAATCGCTGTGGGCCCGAGGTCAACGTCACAGAGCCTTTGCTTGAACCACCCATTATCCCGTCGATCGCAAGCGTACTGCGACGCCAAGCGACCAA